ATTTCAAATGATAATTGTGTTCCAGTCCCTGTATTGATTCAAAACATGTAAATTAAGTAGTTTCAAATTAATACACAAATAAAATTACATTTCTCCCTCATCCCTAAGACAGGAAGAGAAATAGTTTCCAAATGCTCAGAGGCAGCCATTGCTAAGTCCTGGCCAAAAAAAGGATGTGGAAGACCATATTTCTTAAAAATATCTATCTGCTGTTTTTATAGTCCTGCTGGAAGCTTCTCATGAAGACGGCTAGCATGACTGAGATCTCCAGTACACACAAAGGACTGTGTTTAGACAGAGGAAAAATAACAATGATAGGGCTGCTCCCCTGGAAATTATTTCAAATGGCATGATCTGCAAACCTCCACTCTTATATTTAAGCTACTTCAGTTTACTAGAAGATTGAGGAAGCTGTTGCCATCCAGATATTGCAGGACTACAGCGCTCATCATCCCTGGCCATTGGTCATGCAAGCTGGGGCTGATAGGAGTTGTAGTCCAGCAACATCTAGAGGACCACTAGTTCCCCACCCCTGGTTTGCAGTTAACTATTGTAAAGTACAAGTAGGCCAGCTCAGCACTTCCAGTGTGGTGTAGTGGTTAAGAGTGGTAGTCTCGTAATCTGGTGAACCGGGTTCGCTTCCCCGCTCCTCCACATGCAGCTGCTGGGTGACCTTGGGCTAGTCACACTTCTCTGAAGTCTCTCAGCCCCACTCACCTCACAGAGTGTTTGTTGTGGGGGAGGAAGGGAAAGGAGAATGTTAGCCGCTTTGAGACTCCTTAAAGGGAGTGAAAGGCGGGATATCAAATCCGAACTCCTCCTCCTCCTCCTCCTCCTCCTCCTCCTCCTCCTCTTCTTCTTCTTCTTCTGTCATTCTGGACATCTGTCAGATGTGGTCATCTGCTAGTCTGCAACAGGCAATAAGAATGATAGTGATTATATCAGCTGTAATAGACAATAATATACTACAGTGGAAGCTCGTGTTGTGAATGTGATCCTTGCGGGATGCACGTTCGCAACCTGCAGCACTCACAACCTGCAGTGGCACATCTGCGCACGAGCGGGTTGCGATTTGGTGCTTCTGCGCATGAGCAAAGCTCGATTTAGCGCTTCTGCGCACGCTTCAGGAAGAGAACAGAAATCGTGCTCTGGCGGTGCGGTGGCAGCAGAAGGCCCCATTAGCTAAAGTGGTGCTTCAGGTTAAGAACAGTTTCAGGTTAAGAACGGACCTCTGGAACAAATTAAGTTCTTAACTTGAGGTACCACTGTATCATGATGATACAGGATAAATGTCCAATGGTGTTTCATCATTGATGGATTTGTTTTCCAAATTGCAGAAATGAGGTTTATAATATGTTAAACTCAGAAGAACAGAAATCTTTCAAAGCTTTCTCTATTTCAAAATTTAAAGGTCCTTTTCATAATGCACATTTGAAAATATCTATTCACTAAGGCCAGTTCTTGATTTGAAGCATCTATTAAACTGTTTGTGTTGAGTCATTTCTCCAAGAAATTCAAGATGGTATTCCTTTTTATTCAGAAAACAACTCTATTGTATTTTGATTTGTTAAAGGCGAAAGGAGAAGTCAGGCAATTTTCATGAATACTTCCATCATCATTGAAAAGTGTCCCTTTTGGCTGTGTGTGTACTGCTGTGGAATTGATGGAACATTCAGGATGCATTGTTCTGAATTGGCTATACCCCCACTAAATGAGCTTCATTTGCCCTCAGCGATAGCAGCACTGGTTACCCACATTTAATAAAAATGTGTTATTAGGCAAAATAATGCAGACATGTATATTATATAATTTGTTTAGTCGTGTCTGACTCTTTGTGACCCCATGGACCAATACTATATATATATATTATATTATTAGGCAAAATATGCAGACATGTATATTAGAAGAAATTTGCAATAAAATGCTGGCAAATTTTCAAGAGAACTCTTTTTAAAAATGGAAACTGATGAGGGAATGTGCAGAATCAAATTTAAGACTGGGAAAGTAAGAAATAGAGAGAAATAGAAAAAGTGAGAAACCAAAATGAACAGATTTGTCCATGCCTACTGCAGAGTGAATAAACCTCAGTCATAGCACATATCCTTTGCATGCAGAAGCTCCCTGATATGCAGTCCTTGCCTTGCCGGTTAAATGGCCCAGGTGATGAGAAACCCAGAAAACTGCTACCAGCCAAGTAATTGGTAATAGTGTGCGGGATCAACATATAGTCTGCCTTGATATGGCACAGGTTGCTGTGTTCTTAATTACCATGAGGTCCAGCGAATCCAAATGGGATGCAGAATTCAGACTTTATGGATCAAAAGACTGTTCTGTCTCACAGTTACAGCTGTTTGAGGAATTTGATTTATGAGAGAGTAGCTCTTCTACTTCTCCAAATCTTGTGATACACTTCTCAGTTCAAACATACAAAAATGCCTCAGAATATGTATTTTTAGGACAATATTAAATATATATTGAAAGATAGCCACACCAGACCCTGGAGCCTTCCAATGGTTTTTGGTTACCCCTGATAGCACACTCCTTCATTGTCTTTTGAGGCAGACTGGTGCCAACATGCCTACCCTGAAATACATTATATATGTTTGTGTTGATTGTCTTTTTTATGGCAGATTATTGTAGAAAAGGAATGGGATGTATTTATGAATGAACAGAAACCAAATTGACATGGACCAGAAAAAGACCAATCTCTCCATCCCTAAACACTGACTCTGTGTGTGTGTGTGTGTGTGTGTGTGTGTGTGTGTTTCATTGTGACTGATTAATGGCATTCAGCTGGCTTAGTTCTTTAATTAAAATGTCACTCTATTCATAGATGCCTTTTCCCAAGGACAGCATGTCATAACAGACTGACAAGCAAAGCACAAGGCGAGGGAAAGCCGCTGAAACACACATGGAATCTGACAATAAACAATTATGTCCAATAATGTTTTTCTAAGAACTAACTATTCTGTCACTGTAAAAATATTTCAAACAAAATCTAAGCTGACTGGCTGTGGGTCAGGTATAGGTCTTGGATGCCTCCTTCAGGCTATGGAAAAATGATGAAAACAATGTCCAGATGTGAAGCGGAGTAGTACTGTTTCCCCATACTCAACTTGTTGCCCATGTGCTGCTTAACATTATATGAATAGGGATCTCAATATGATATGAATTAGGGATCTCAATATGATAAAACAGCATGTCTATGTGTGGCGGGGGGGGTGGGGTGGCTCTCTTGAATGGTCATTTGCCTTGCATGGGTACATGCTGATGCTATTTGGTGTGAATCATGTGGTTCTCCTACAATTGCGACGTGGGTCACATTTGTCTCAGAAGAGGCTGAAAAGTATGCACTTAGTATGCATATTGCGCTTTTGATCTTCAAAGGGTTTGCAGAAAAGCGGAACCCTGCAACACATATCTTCTTAAAATAGATTAGATGTGATTAGTCACTAGTTTATGAACAGCTATGAAAATTGGTTTGGCCCAGAGATCCTTGTACAAAGAAGTAGGTTACATACATGTAGTTGCACATGAGAATCTTTGAAGTCTGTTTGGTTTGTAGTCTTGATTCGGCATATAGGGCATCAATCAAAAGGGCCGTGCACAGAAACAACACGTGCAATTATTTGAGAAGCTCAAAACCAGCCAGAAAACGACAGCAACAAACTGCTGGGCTACTGTCAAAGGGTCATAATAGGATTGGAGCAGAACACAGAATAAAGCTAAAAATATATCATAGTATATTGTGGAAATGTCAGAAGCAAGCACAACTGTTCTTGTGGGACTTCCATTAGCGTATGTCCTATAACAGAATAATCTGTGGTGTGATTTGTAATCTTCTTGAAGCAGTTTGGGAACATCTCTCTGTTGTCTCATGATCTAACCCTCATGCAAGGAAAAGGAGCTACAGTAGGAGGTGGCATGTCTGTGGAGCCACTTCGTTGCCAAACAGATGTCAACTCTTATCTCCTGTCAGGAAGCAAGGTAGGGAGTGGAAGAGGAGGACGTTGCAAGGGCTCTCTTCCCCCCTCTCCTAGCCTAAGAGGTTATCTGTGGCAACACCAGCCTTTCCATTAGGCAGAGTGAGGCAACTTCCTCAGGTGGCCGATGATGGTCATCAGCCTCCTGGGTACCCCACTGGTTAAATGCTTATATTTTTCTAAGTAATAATAAAACATATTGTGTGCATTTTTATCAGCAAGATGCAGTTCTCTGCCGCATCCGAATTAAATAGCTCTATTGTGATGATAATACTGGAGATGAAAGTGAACATCAAGAAAGAACGAGTCACCCCACCATGAAGGAAAGCCATTGTTTTTGTTCTGCTGAGCACAAAGGGAGTGAGTGCACTTGAATATCAATGGTAAATACTTGAAAGTTAAGTGCTCTTCCCAGGACATTCCTTTCCATTTTATTTTTGGTCCAAGTTTATGAAGATGTCTTGAAGGGATAAATCAAACCCAGTGCAAACAGATCTGAAATCAGACATGAAGTGGAGCACCCCTCTCCTTTTCAGGACTGAAGTCACTCAAGTACATCTTAAATGTCTTGTGCTTTGCTAAAAATAACTCAAAAGGAGTTCAGCAATTTAACTTGGAACTCTGGGTTGAGAATAATATACGACTCTCCCACTGTATAGAATGTGTTTACAAAGCCTGTGATCAGCTCTCTTACTGAACCTCTGGTTATTCAATATGTACTATTATGAACCACACTTCTACCCCACTCTTCTTTTTATAACAAAATTTTATTGAAGCTTTATCATAATACAAGAAACTAATCTAAATAAAAACAAAAAGAGAAAGAGAAAAAAACCAAAGGAAACCAAAATCTATTACACTCTTCTGAGTGGCACCTCTGCTGAACACGCCCCCCCCCCCAAGTAGAAAAGGTGTTTCATGCTCCACCAACTTACACCATTAAGAGTCTCATGCTCTACCTACTTACACCAAGTCAGACCATTGGTCCATTGAGCTCAGCACTGTCTACACTGATTGGCCGTGGTGGCTGGGAAATAGCTCAGTTGGGCGAATATATGACTCTTACTCTCAAGGTTGTGGGTTTGAACCCCACATTGGGCAAAAGATTCCTGCATTGCAGGGGGTTGCACTAGATGATCCTCACGGTCCCTTCCAATTCTACAACTCTATGATCAATAAATAAAATGAATAATTTTTGGATATTTTCTGTTCCTCACAGAAATAAAAAACCTTGTTGTGTACACCTGCCACTGCCATATCTTCTCCTATTTATCCTGCTTCTGCAACCCAACAGTTCTCGTTATTTTGTACCCTCATCATTTCCCACCTCCTCACCCATGATGACACTGTCCCCCTGAGTCCTTGTACTGACTCTCCCTTCCTCATGTTGTCCTCAGCCTGAAGTCACCGGCGCACAGGAACAATGTTCAGTTTTGTTCTCATTTGTGTTTTATTTGCTGTCCACTTTCCTCCCAAAAGAGGCGCCTCTTTCTCGGCCTTTGACAGTTAAGGTCTTTTGTCTTGTGTGACCCACCTCTTTTGTTGAACCATTACTGTTCTGTTTTGGTTGGAAAAGTTTGAATGATAACTGTTTTGCTTCTTTCTTACAACTGTATGATGATATTATTGTAACCCGCTGTGAGACCATATGGCGAAGGATTACTAAGAAATCTTTGAAATAAATAAATCCAAAGTTAATAAATTTGGCATTTATTTATTAACATAATTTATAATAGCTGCCTCAACATATGTTCTATGGGCGGCTCACAGAACAAATACAGTTAAAACACAATATGAAACAATAAAAGCTATCAAAAGCTAAACGCCCAATGAAACAATAATATTGAGATCCAAAGCTTCACTTCTATGTGTTAGTGATTCCATTGCAGCCCACATTTTTGCTAACCTTGTACCTTTATGTTTATAGACATATTAGCAGAAAGACATAAAGGAGTGTTGGAATCATGCTGTCAGCCCTTGGTGTGGGAAACACTGTATAAAATTACACAAAGTGTGGTTCCCGCAAAATCTTTTAGGCTATTGCTTTGTTAGAATCTTCTCTCTGTTTGTTCCTGCTCTTGATCTACACTTTGTTTTCATTTTGTTTTTTTTTTTTTTAAATCATATTTATTAAAGTTTCCAAAAATATAAAAATACAAAGAAAAAAGACAAAAGAAAGAAGATATTTAAAAACCTTACTTTCATTCCCTACTTTCTGGGACTCCCCCTCCCCCAATTGTATTCCCTTTCCTTAATTTGGTTCTACAAGCTCTCACTCCCAATTTAAAGCTTAATTTGTTTAACCCACTATCCAGATTGAATTGTACAAATCTTACCACCGTCCCACATCATTAACAGAAAAAGAAAAAGATTTTCCCCAAGATCCACCCCAGTTCCTTCCACAAATTCCCTTTTTTAAACACGTCTGATCAAAGTAAAATAACATACGTAAGTTATGTAAAGAAATAGAAAATAAGAGATATAGAAAAATTCAAAAATGGTTACACAGCCTTTGGATTTCAAATCTCCCCCTTCCCCGGTTTGAATTCCCATGTCCATCAGTCTATACATTATCAGCTTGGAAGTCTCATTTCATGACCAGATTTCTCCCGATTCCATCTTGCCGGTTTTCTTTAGTTTATTAATTTAAATAATATTTGACTTCAAATGTCCAATCTAACAAAGGCCTTTAATTTCCTTGATCTTTACCACTCCTCCCGTTGTTCTTTCCGTGTCGTAATCAGTCCTTTATTCTTCTTATTCCTCACTTTCTCAGGTTTCTTGTCCTGTTCAGCTGCTAAAACTTTCTAATTCAGAAATCTAGTGTCTCTGCAGAGGTTTGTTATTCAGGAACAAAAACTTACGTCCAGTCCCTTTCTTTCTTCAATAAAAATTCCATTGTCTTCCTCTGTAGACAAAATACTCTTTCAGTTTTGCAGCTTTCCCAGAAGATAACAAATCCTGTGCGAATCCCAGGGTATTTTTCCACTTACGACCGTTCTTGTAGTATCCCGAAACCCCTCTAGGGGGATTGTAATAACTTTGTATCCTCTAATCCAAAAGTCAAATTGTTGCTTATTTTCCAACAGTTTATATCCATATTATAGCAAATTGTAACAAAATTAACCAGCAAGGTCCTCATAACAAAGTCCTCTTTATATTCTCCAGCTTTGACAGCCACTTTGACAGCTGTCAAAGTCTCCGTCTCTCTTCACCAGGCTCCACGAATCGCCCGGTTCCCAGGGGGTTGCATTTTTCTTCTCACCCTCCACTCTTCTCCTCCAGCACATTTCTTATAATTTCCCATCGTGAAATTAATGATTTTTATCAGAGACATACTTCCCTTTGGACCTTGGTTACCCAGTCCTTGTTTTGGAATGCTTACAATAGGGGGATTGACTTCCTTTTAAATCGCCCCGCTCGTGCCAAATCCAAAATTTTGAACCCGGTTTCCCAATTACTCACGGGTTGTTGTTAATAGTCCAAATTTTCAATAGAAGAAGTCAGCGCTCTCCGTCGAATGGCATGCGGCTGCGCTCGGCAGGGAAAGCAGTGGACTCAGCACCACGCCACTCCCCGGCACTCCGATCCGAAGCCTTTAAAAAGGCTCCTTCACGAGTCGGGAGGGCGCTAATGGTGCAAGCCGAGTCACCCATGTCCACGGACTCCGTGCCCGTGGTTTTTAAGGGTCCCCGCGTCGCCGGCGCGGTAGGACCCAGCCCCTGCCGAGCAGACTCCCTCCGGAGCTCGGAGGGAGTCCGCCATTCGGCGATGGCGCTAACCCGGAAGTCCCCACTTTGTTTTCATTTTGGCTTATTTTCCTTCCTTTCTGTGCAAAGGTCCTCGAAGGCCCATGGGTTGATAGTGTGATAAGTTCAGACATCTTACTCTTTAAAATGTGTAGGATGATCCTGAAGTGCTGACACCAGCATGTTTTAGAAGCTGAAACAAAAGACAGCGTGTTTTGGACTGAGTCATAATTATATTAGCAGAGGTCTGACAGCAGACACAGGTTATATATTCCATTAGTACATTCAGTCATGTACTTTGCTATCTACAAACAAAAGGCACCAGTCGTTCTATTATAATGAGCCCTAAACTTCTCCCTGTTTGTTACCAGTGATTTTTTTTAAACAAAACCTGTGAAGAACCAAAAGTTTCTATTTCTACTAAAACTGAATGTGCGCTTAATTGGCGATGGTATTTTGAAATAACAGTATTTCCCTATCCTGTGGTCACCTATGTAACAAATTATAATGTTTTTCTTTTTCTTCATGAGACAAACACAAGCACCTATTTTGCTCTTGACATTAAAGCTGCTATATCTTTTCACTTTTAATTGGGGATGTGTTGCTTGGGAGGGGGAATCCAAAAAACCAAAGCCAAATGCTGGAAGGTTCTTTACTCTGAGCTGAAACTGAAGTAGAACTTGGTCCTTCTTCAAACACTCCAACCCACCTTGTCCTTCCTATTACTCCTTGCTCCCTTTTATGCCTTGACTCACAACCCTACGTATGCAAATTACACATATATCCCTTTATCTAAGAAGAACCAACTCCTGCAAATATATTTAAGCATATAACTGCAATTGACAACCAATCCAGAATCATCAACGTTGTAATTTAACTATTGTCCCCTGCTCTATTGAAACTGTTGAGCAGCAGATGTTCTGGTTGGTGACTATGTGCAAGAGACCAGATATCAGTAGATGCATCATAATCAGCAGGGCCCAGGTGTGTAGCCTATCTTATGTGGCCATTTGTGGCCGAATCATAATGGGTAGGAACCAGATGCTAGGCACTTCATAGCCAGCCATCTGATAATTCATAGGGTACTTTCCTATCCTTTACCTTGAGAGGTAAAGTGAACCTTGGTTCTTTTTTCAGCAGGATGCTCAGTTTTCCAACCCACAGAAGTGAACTGTGTTGTATTTCTGGTGCCTTGGCTACATTATGGTGACCCATATGCTTCTTATATTGTTGTTGCTTCTGTTGTCCTGTTTGTCTTCTGTCAGAGTGCATTTGGCTTATGCATCTGTTGCCCAGCAACAGTGAACTTGCATTGTAAGTATTCAGCTGGTGACTTGTGTTGTGGCATTTTGTTTAGCTAAATAGATTTGTAAGAAATCTGTGGTGATGGGTTCCTTTTCCATGTTTAATCTTCTAGGCCAGCTGTTTGTAGACTTTGGGATGTATCTGATGTTAATCGTATTCAGACTGGAACCACTGAAATTAATGACTGGTTTAGTATATTGGATATCCTTTTCTGACAGGAAAGTCTCAAATTCTACAGAAGAGAACCTGAGTGCTATTATCTAAGATCAATTCCCTTGGGGTCTTCTTCTCTACTAAAAACTGAAGTAAGAAACTTGAAAGCAGTAATAGAAATAACATGTGGAGTAAAAGGAACTTCAGGCCATTTACTAGAATAATCTGTAATGGTAACAGCATAATAGCAGGTGCCTTTTCAAATGGACCATCGATGTCAATTGTCAGCTTCCCCGAGGCTGAATCAGGAAGTGTGATAGACTATAACAGTGGCATGTATGTGGTTGCTATCAAGTCATTAAATTGGCAAGTAACACAATATTTCTACCTGCTTCCAGGACGCCCATAAAAATAACACAGTTTATACAATCCATTGAAGTGTATCAGTTGTATTAATTTTACTTGTAATTCTGGCGGAACGATGATGAGTATCACAGACCACAAGACCATCATGTAGGAACAATTTGTCTCATATCTGAAAGAAAGGCAATAGGGCTGGATCTACATTATGCATTTGACATGGTCATTTTACTATAAGCAGTGTTGGAACTACTGTTAGGAAATGGCTGTCAGACCATATGTAATGGTCCACATCATAGCCATGGTTGCTATCCGAGGATGACAAATGTGGCCAGGATATCACAATAAAAAGTGAGAATCAAAATGAACCCCCCCCCAAAAATAAGATTTTAAGAGACATCTAAGGCATGTCACAGTCGACACTTCTCAGTTTGCATGCGGAGGGATGTTCCAGAGAGTTGATGCCACTGTTACTAGGTGTCTATTTGGCAGCCAAAGCATGACAAAGAGGACCTTCTCCAATGACTGTAAAGA